CTCCACGTACTTGAGGAAGTCCAGGTCCAGGTGGAAGCCGTAGGGCGTCTCCACCGAGTAGGGCGAGCTCGGGCTGCGGGCGCCCCCGGTGGGACCCGGGCACAGGCGAGGGCCGCCCAGATCTGCAGACACGACCAGGGCATGGTGGGGGGGCGTCAGACCAGGGAGACCCCGGAGACATGAAACAAGCGAAGCGAGTCCCCAAGACACGCCTGAACGACTGCCAGAGCGCACACTCACGCCCAACTTGCATACCTATCTGCACCCATATATTCACGCAATCACCATTTATTGAGCACCTACTGTGTCTCAAGCACTAATCTATGTCCTGGGGACACACCATTGAGCAAGACAAACCTCCCTGCCCTCTTGAAGGAAAACAGTTAACACAATCATTCCAAACGGTACTTAGGTCAGTAATAATAATAAGTAGAAAGAGAGAACATCTGCAGAAGGCATGATTTCGGCCTGGGGGGGGGCCGACAGACTGCAGGGGTCAGAAGGCTTCTAGAAGACAACAACCCACGCAAAGAGGCTGGGGTGGGAGTGGGGAGGGTTGGCTGGAGTCTCAGCAGGGTGGAGGACAAGGTGTCCCCAGCAGAGCAGAGTGAAGGGAGGGAGGGGGAGGGGAATGGAGAGGCCGGCAGGGACCAGACCATGCCGTGGGAACCTCGAGGGCCACCTTGGGGCGCCATCGGTGGGTTTTAGGCAGAGTCATGCCATTGTCCCATGGGCCTTGGGAAAGGGTCCACGGGTCGCCGTGTCAAGAAGAGACCAGCAGGGCTATGTCCACACCCGCGGCACCGTGTGGCCCTGTGCACACACGTGAATCGCGTCTTGCACACTCACCGGGCAGGTTCTGGTTCAGGGCAAACTTGGTCATGTTTCCTGGAGTAGCTGCCAGACACGCTGAAAAAGGCCCCCAGAGTGTGTGAGGCGGGCTGCACCCTGTCCCTGGGGCTTGACCTCTAGGCCTGCCTTTGAGTCTGGGTAAACCCACCCAAGGGCTTTTCTCCTCTCCCCACCAAGCCGCACACACATGCCCTCTGCTTCCCCTTCCCTCAGAAGACCTTGAAACTTCACGTTGAACGAACATAGGGATCCTCCAGTGCCAGGCCCCAGCCTGTCCAGCAGGAGGAGGCAGGGAAGGAAGAAGATCCAGAAAACAGGAATAGCTAGGAGTTGGGGAGACCCGCTGTGTGTTCTGTCAACCCCCAGAAAATTAGGAATCTGTGCTCTTTGGAGTGGCCTGGGAGCTTTTAGAAAAGAGAGTTGCAAGCCCTTCTTGGCTTATTAAAAACTCATCTAGAGCCAGGCTCGGTGACTCAGCCTGTAATCCCAGCACTTTGGGAGGCCGAGGTGAGTGCATTGCCTGAACCTGTGGGCTTGAGACCAGCCTGGGCAACTTGGCAAGACCTCGTCTCTACAATAAATCAAAAATTAGCCAGGTATCATGGTGGCATGTGCCTGTAGTTCTAGCTACTTGGAAGGCTGAGGCAGAAGGATTGCCGGAGCCCAGCAGGTCAAAGCTGGGGTGGCTGGGAGCGGCCACTGCACTCCAGTCTGGGCGAGAGTGAGACTCCAACTCAAAAAAATAAAAATAAAAATACAATAAGAATTAAAAAAAAAAATTAGGTGTGGTGGTGTGCACCTGTAGTCTCAGGTACTGGGAAGCCTCAAGTGGAAGGATTGCCTGAGCCCAGCAGGTTGAGGCTGGGGTAGCCGTGACTGTGCTATTGCACTCCAGTGAGACTCTGTCTTAAAAAATAATAATAAATAAATAAATACTCATCTGCTCAGATTCTGCATGTAGCTAAAAAACAGGATCTTTTGAATGTTTTTTTTTTCTTTAGAGATATACAAACAGTATGTAATTGTGCACCTGAATTTTTACCAAGGAAGCTTGTGAGACCCTGTAGGAATGATGGAGAATTGTGGGCTGGGGGCGCCAAGGATGCAACACAATGAATACTTGTCTCCCTGGCAAGTTGCTAGTGGAGTGCCACAGGGCTGTGTCCTTGGCTTGCAAGAGCTTGTAATGGAACCAGAAGCACCCAGGTTGTCAGAGCTGTGGCTATCCATGGGGCTGGGGGAAGTGGCTCTTCAAGTGACATGGTGGAAGCTCTGAGACAAAATTTACAAGGTCAGATACTGAGTCTTGAGCTTTGATTTAAAAAAGCAAGGCGGGCTCGGTGGCTCAGCTTGTAATCCCGCGCCTTTGGGAGGCTGAGGTGAGTGGATGGC